TCACTCTTGTTTCCCCACTGTGAACAGTTTGTGCTTTGCCACAAGGTCCCTGCCAAGATGTGCTGCTTCCCTACAGACCCCCAAGCTATGGGGCAAATGATGATGGACTGAAACCTCCAAGCTTATGAGCCCAAATAAACTTTTCGTCTGTATAAACTGAGTATCTCAAGTATTTGTTATAGTAACAGAAAGATCTGTTGTGGAATACTTTTTTTTTTAAATAGGCAAAGTTATGTCATATTTGTTGATGCTGAGAAATATCACTTTAACTGTGGAAAGGTGTATTACTTCTGTTTATGCTGCATTTGTATCACCTTACCTGCCTAAGGCATCTGATTGGTCTAACAAAAAGATGACTGGCCAACAGCTAGGCAGGAGAAAGGATAGGCAGGGCTGGTGGGCAGAGAGAATAAATAGAAGAGAACAAAGAAGAGAAAGAACAAGAGAAGAGAGGAGAGAACGAGGGACAAGGAAGCAGTGAAAGTAAGAAAGGTAAAAAGCCCTGAGGCAAAAGGTAGATAAAGAGAAGCAGGTTAATTTTAGTTAAAAGAGCTAGCCAGAAATTGCCTAAGTGAGGCCAGGCATTCAAAACTAATAAGCCTCTGTCATGATTTGGGAGCTGGTTGGTGCCCCCCCCCCAAAAAAAAGGCCTGGTACAAAGATCACTAACTAACAGAATGACTATATTCAAAAAATTTTCAGACATTTAACAGCAAAAGCAGTTCCTTCAAACTGGAATCTTGTTAAAGGTCAGAGTCTCTCAAAAGGGCTATCTGTTACTGTTCTTGCACTCCTCTGCTGAGACAGGCGCCTCCTCCTCTATAGGAGTGGTGCTCTCCAAATGACAACCGACACAGACTCTCACATCAGTAGACCCTTCCTCGGGTCCTGCTCTTTGCACTGTCCACTACACTGCACGTGGCTGTCTTCACACTAAATCTCCCCCCTGCTTTTGCTTCAGACACTTGTAGAACAGCTCTCCATGAGAAGGAAACACACTGTGGATCAACAATAATATCCTAACAGGACAGATTTACCAGTAACAACATGCTGAACAACTGTAAAAAGTTGCTCTACAGCCAGGAGGTAGTGGCACTCTCCTTTAATCCCAGCACTCAGGAGGCAGAGGCAGCAGGATCTCTGTGGGTTCAAGGACAGCCTGGTCTACATAGCGAGTTCCAAGACAGCCAGGGCTATTACACAGAGAAACCCTGTCTTGGAAAAACAAGAAAGAAAAAAAAAAAGTAGCTCTTCAAAGTTTACATGGAGCTTTTCTTTTCTTTTTAGAATTGTGGGACTTGAATTCAGGGCCTCAAAAATGCTAGTCAAGTACTTTACAATTAAGTCACATACCTTCATGTAAACATATTAGAGTACAAATGATAGGACCACTATTACACATGATTCTCTTGAATGTGCATGACTGGCAACTCAAGCAGTAGAATACATTCAAGTCAGATGTCTCAATCAGTAGTAGTCTTATAATCCATAGCAGTAATAAATTTTTAAAAAAATTGTCTTTATCTAGAAGTCTTAGTGATTACTGTTTCCCATATTGTTATTAAGGTGGCCTAGATTGAGGAAAATATGAAAGGTTAGTGGTGTACAACCAATATGGATGCTTTATTATGACTATGCAGTAATTCAGTAACTGATAACCTACACACAAAGTGGCTAGAAATATTAGCATTTATAGATGCTAAAGAAAAGCAAGGGCTTACCATGCTCTCTACACAGCCCAACTTGTAACTTATTGAGAGAATGGAGCAGTGAGTAGCTTTGATCAGACAAGAGAATGCTTGCAAGGCTTTAACCACAAACTAGAAGAAATGAACATGTGACCCTGTCATGTGAGTGTAGGCCAATTTCAGTGAAGCCTGGAGTTTATGAAAACAGAATTATTTGGCACATTCTCACATGAAAACTGAGTATAAGGGCCTGGATCCAGAATCAAGTATCTTGTTGCATTTGTCTGTAATTTGGGCCCCCCACTTATATTTTCATCTTGACACCCCATCACTGTTTTTATTCAAATATCTGGAAGGTTGTCTTTTTCTGAAAAAGGGTCTCACTACACACCCCTTCACTGGTCTGGGACTCACTAGGTAGACCAGACTAGCCTTGAACTTAGAGATCCACTTGTCTCTGCTTTCCAAGTGTTGGCGTTAAAGTCAAGCAACAGTTCACCCAGCCCCCATTCATGTATTTGATTATGTATAAACCAGTTCTATGTGCTAGTGCTAGGGTCACAGCAATGAGATAAGTTTCCTTTTGAGGAAGCAGGAAGTTGAACTAAGTGTTATGGTGGAGGTTCCACCCAAGCCCCCTCCCCCATCTCCCTCCAAACCTTGCTGCATCTCAGAAAGCCTGCCTAATGATGGCCCCTCCCCTAGAGATGCACAAGACCACTCCCACAGGGTATTTAAATTTCCCCCCAGAAACCAGATTCTTGGTTTTCCTGGTCTCCCTTTCCCAGTCTCCTCTCTGGGGGGCTGGAAGGCCACCCAGGAGCCCTGTATCCATTAAACGTGGGCTTTTTTCTAATCAGGTTTGATTTGGACTGACTTAGTTTGCTGCATCAGCGGAGAGGTTTATCTGGGTCTAGAAACTTTTCACTAAGAATGAAGAAGAAAAGCAGGTAAGTTCTGAATCAGTGTTTCATGAAGGGACTCAGAATTAGCTGTGGGTGTAAAAAGCATATTAGTGTGGTTAGTGACATAATTTAGCATCACCTAGGAAGAGAGTCTTAATGAAGAATTGTCTAGAATAGATTGGCTTGTGGACACATCTGTAGGTAGGTGGCACCATTCCCTAGGAAGGGTGCTAATGCTGAACTAAGTGGAGATAGTAATTTGAGCACTAGAATGCAAAGATTAATTTGTTCCTCTCTGCTTTTTTTTTTTTTTTTTTTGTCCTGGAATTCACTTTGGAGACCAGGCTGGCCTCAAACTCACAAAAATCCTCCTGCCTCTGCCTCCCAAGTGCTTCGATTAATGGCATGCATCACCACCACTAGGCTTCCTTTCTGCTGCTTCTTTTTTTTTTTTTTTCCATCTTCAAGACAGGATTTCTCTGTGTAGTTTTGGAGCCTATACTGGCACTCTCTCTGGAGACCAGGCTGGCCTCGAACTCACAGAGATCCGCCTGCCTCTGCCTCCTGAGTGCTGGGATTAAAGGCAAAGGCGCCTCTCTGCTTCTTAAATGAATGCAATATGACTTGCTTATGTGACTCACAATGATGGTATACAACTTGGAACTGAGAGCCAGTATAAACACTTTCTTCCCTAACTGCTTTAGTGAAGGTATTTTATCAATACAGCAATAGGAAACAAAAGCAAGGCAATTTGTCTTTTTGTTGCTGTGACAAAATACATGAGGAAACAAGGGTTAGATTTGCTTTGCTTCATGACTTCATGCTGATCACTTAACTCCACTATAGGGATTCAGTTTGGGGCAGTAATGAAAATTAACCCCAGAGCTGTGTGCCTGCTAGGCAAAGGGTCTACCATTCAGTGCCAGGCACAGTATTCTTGCTGAGTGTCTCAAGTCCAATAGAGACAGTGGTTATCAACAAGGTATTTGTGCCACTACTGCATCAGTAGGGTCCCACCCTCTCTTACTTTTCGGTCTGAGTGTGGTGAAGCAAATGGTGAAAAGCATGTTCATGGAGCAGTGACCCACCTCATGGCAGACAGGAGAGACCCAGAACCAGTCCCCCAAAGCATGTCCTCAGCAACCCATTGCCTCCATAAGGATGCACTGTGTCGACCCCCTCACAAGTCTATTGGATTAATCTATTAGATAAGAGCTCATGATTAAAGAGCCCTCCTCTCAACACTGTATTCTGTAACATTTTACCCAAACTTTAAAGGTTATATGAGACTCACATTTTTAAAATCTCTTGTATTGCTGGGTGTGGAGGCATTCAACTACTCAGGGTGCTCAAGTGTATTACTTGAGCCCAATACTGAAGAAAAAGCCTGGGCAACAAAACAAGATCCCTGTCTAAGAAAGACACTGTGGCTTTCATAGCAGGGTAGGATGGCAGACAGCGGGAATAGTTTAGAGCTACAGTAGTGATGCCAGGCATGCTGGCTCATGCTTGTAATCCCAACACTCAAAGGCTAAGCAGGAGAGTTGCTGAGTCTGAATGAAGCCTAACGTACAGAATAAGTCTGAAGCCAGCCTGGGCTAGAGGCCCTGCCTCAAAAAAACCAAACAAAACAAAAAAATAAGGGTGTTTTGTGGGTGTTGGTCACTACTTTCCCTAAGGAAAGGGAAATGATACATTCAGAGCTCTTGAATGCCTTGAGTTGGTGAAATCATGGAGATATTTAGTGAGTATGAGTGTAGAGAGGGCCAAATTTAACAAAACCAAGCTTACATGCTGCTTTCAACCAACCTGCCTTACATAAGCTTTCCTTTGTCCACCTTTGTCTTTGTGAGAATGAAGTTTCCTTCACCCAAAATGTACTTTCTTCTAACTCCCACTCAACCTTCACAGTAACTGCTTTCTAATGCCACCTGAACACTTGGCTCTGCTCTACCATTCATCTATGTTGAAGAATTCATTCCTAGACTTCTTAGAACTTTTCTGAGATGCTCTTATGAAGCTGTGACTAAGGATGACCTTGAACTCCTGATCCCCCTTCCTGCCTCCCGATGAGGTTTCATGAATGTGCACCCAGACCCAGCTTAAAGTGCTAGGAACTGAACCCAAAGTTGTGTGCATGTTAGGTAGGTAATCACTCTACCAACTAAGCCATACCCTCAATCCCGTAGACTTCCTGAAACTTTATTTCTACCCATCTCAACCATCTTTCTGTAATACTACAGTATTTTATAATACTAGAGCATTTTATACACAAGATGAGAACAGCAGGGTTTCATTAGCACATTTAAATTAGAACAAAAATCCAAGACCACAAGTAATTTCTTCATAGTGGCTTAGCTTCAGAAAACATACTGAAAAACATTAACAAATAAGACAAAACTGCATATTAAAATCAATAAAAATTAGGTAGGTCCATTTATTTTGGGTGTATTTTACAAGTATAAGTTTGGAAGGGCTATTTGACAAACTTCAGCATTAACTGCCAACTCTACAGACATCTTTAACAAGAAAAGGCATTTATGTTGGCCCTTTGCATATAGGCAGTGTCCTATTGCATATCAAATGGTGGAGATGCAGTGACAGATTGGAGGGCATGGTACTAGAGTGAGATGATTTCTACTACTATTTAGTTGATAAATACCACATAAACATACATGAATGGGTGTCACCACCACAAGTAATTTATAGAATTGAAACCCATAAGTCTACCTACTTAAAAAATTTCAACTAGTTAACAGTATCCAATTATCACCTCTAGATGAGCCACTACAAGTTCCTTTGATCACAATTTCTAAAAGTTGTAGTGAGAAGTTGGAGAAAGAGACCCGGGTAAGACTGGCAGTAGATGCCAAGTAGATCAAGATGGTGCTTTAGAAAGTTAAGTGCTTACAGTGGGCTTCAATGACAAACATGGTGATGGAAATGGGTTACAATGAAGTCGTGAGTTTGAACGTTGGGGGATGTGATGAGGCTATCACAGAGAAGGCCTTGGTAACCACTCAGAACTGCTCTTCCTACAAGCTACCTGCTTCTGACCATCCAATACTAAGTTTAGAGCAGAGTTTGGGTTAATGGTTCAGTTTTGACAAGACTTTGTGATATTTAGATTAAGAATACAAGTCTCACTTAGTAATGACTACCAATACTCAGAGGTATACTTTGGTTAAGCAACTAATTCTAACTATGGAAGTAATAACAAGTGGAGGCCTTGTCATGACTGCCTTGAATAGTTTGGACATGTTTCCAGATCAGCAATACAAACTTATCTAACAACTTGTCGACTACAAACATGCCCCCTCCAATAGATCCAAATGCTACTCCAACTAGACACAAGCCACAACTGTTAGTCAGATGTAGCTTTCAAGATATTCTCGTAAGAGCCACTGAAAAAACAGACTTAAACTTTAGCCAGTTTGCCTTTAGTATTTTACCAACTTCAGTTTACTCTAACATTAAAACTAGCCATTCCTTAGACACAATTTTGACATAGAAATGAACAATTAAGCTCATCTAATCAAAATCTTCACTAAATGATGACCAAAGAGCCCGCAAAAATGTTTACAATAAACTGAGCTTTGAAGCACAACAAAACACAGGAAAATGTAAAACTTCTCTCAAGCACCAATAATGGAAGCTATGCAGCTATCCGTACAAATCCTTACTAGAGAAGCTATGCAGCTGTCCGTGTAACTCCGTAACAGGTCTTTCCTTGTGGAAAATCCTGAGATTTTATTTAAGCACTGCTACTTTATAGAAGGCAGGTTGGTTTAGTGAGGAAACTTACTTTTGATAGTGATATTTTATTTGGGGCACTTAGTATTTCACAGATCCTCAAGTCTTGAGGTAGGTTAAATATCAGTGTCCTATTTTACAAATCAAAACTCAAGCAGGTGTTACTCACTTTGTCATTAACTGAGTCTGGTGGTCAGGAAAAGCATGGTCACTCTGATTTCAGATTCACCTAATGTTTAAACCTAATGGTGATGGGCTTGCAAATATCCATGGGGGGACCACGACGACAACAACAACTAGATACCAATCCTATGGTGACTACAGGATAATCCATTTGATCATTACAAATACATTTACATAGAACTGAGCTGTTAAATTACCAATTCGGAGTGTAGAGTGCGTTTTCTGCCTTTCAGGTTGAATGGAGCAGGACTAATCACTAGTGTGGAGCCATAGGAGAGCAGGTGCATAAATGTAGTCACCATAAAAAACGATGCCTGGATTCCATAGTGGTCGTCTCAGACCAAGATGAAGGGAAAGAACAATATCAGCTCAGGCTGCTGTGGCTCAATATGCTTCCCCCAGGCCAGACATCTTGGGGTAAGAGCTCTAAGAGAATAGTAAATGTGCCCCAATAATGTGTGCTAATGCTTTCACTAACACATAAACCCCCAAAAAAGTAAACTGATATTTTATTAAAATGATAAGTATAGAAGATACCTAAATATTTTAATGTTTTACCTATCACGTAAATCCCTGTAATTATTAGAAGCCCAATTCTCCTAGTTCATCCTAATTATTTAAAATTATTTACCAGAATTCAGCTTATGCCGACATGGTTTCCTAGACCAATCTTTTCAACTACTTGCTTCATTATAAAGCTTGCTTAGGGATAATAAGAGTGTAGTTCCATGGTACAGTGCTTGGTAAGCACTTTGAAGACAGTGGTTTGATCCTCAGCATAACAAAAATCCCTCACAAAAATCCTTTTATTTAAGGAAGTTTAAAAAGTAAAGATAGACATGTATATTCTGTTATAAATGGGACAGCCCAACACAAGTCACAGAAGCAAAGTAAGAGAAGATGGGGGTTGAGAAGAATATAGAAGGCAGAGAATGCAAGCCTTTAACTTTAGTATCCCCAAAGTTGAGTGTGGAAGTAAAAAGTTTCTACATTAAGAAAGTTTATATAAATTATATGAATTGTAATGTTTTGTAAGAGTCAAAATGAAATGTTCTGCATAGAACAAAAGATATGCCTAAGCAACATATCATATTTGTACAAGGCCACTGAAAGTCATGAATATTAGTAACAAATGAAAACGCTTAATTCTGTATCAGGCTGAGTAGATTTCAGTTTGGTATTCTAATAAGCTCATGATTGTAAACTATTCTTATACAAAAGCAGAAATGGTGGGCAGATTTGTGTAGGAAGTCTTGTGCTTCTGGTTGGCACATTATCTACTTTCTAATATGGTGAAATTAATACAGACATTTGTAAAAGGTTGTGCAAAACTATTGTATTTACAAAAATGGCACAAAAGTGAATGCAATAGTCAGTGCACATGCACACCCATTCATGTCTTCAACAAAGAAAGCTGTCCCAACACTGCAGAACCCAGGAAGAGCACTAGCTTCAACGACAGCTGATAAGCATTGGAGTCACACAAGTCACATCAGAACGGGCAAATATCGCCCAGGTAAGATGCTCTTGTTAAAGCTGGAACAGCAGGTTTAAGGCCGTCAAGTCCAAGTAGTTATTCAAAATCTTTTGCAGCCCATTTACTTGTGTCTGAATTATGTGACTTGTCTTCCAACTTGTGGTCTTAAGCTTCTGTCTTACAAAATTCAAAAGGAAAGAAAATACAGAAGAAATCAATACAACTGAGGTTCTATTAAATAAGAGTAACATACAAAGCTATAATTACGAGGAAGTAAGGAAAGCCAGAACATTAAAGCTGTAGAACTTGCTTGCTACTTGTTGGAGCCAGCCCTATACCAGCTAGGTAATATGTACAATTATCGTAACTTAAGTTGCTGTTACATGTCCTTTGCATCAGTGCACTGTTAAACTAACCGAAACCTCTACACATGTATGCTCCCTTACAACAGCAGCACATACTACCACTACCTGCAAAGCTGTCAGTCTCAAATGACATAGTGAGTGAAAGGAAACAGAAAGTGGGTAAGTAACGTAGTAAGGAGAAATAAAGGACATTAGAAGACTCATGCAGTTCAGCTCTTTTAATCAGCCAGCCAGCTTGCTAGCAACCAGGGATGGTTTCCGCTGAGGAAGGTCCTGTGGAGTGGGAATGTGGTCACCAGTGACCTCTGTCTTATCTGGGGCTGCTGCAGGAAGCTGCTTGTTCTTCATCTTTGCTTTTGCCATGTTGTAATCCCCAGAATCAAAATACTTTTGCTGCAAACAAACAAACAAACAAAACAGAAACAATTAGAGTTTAAAAGTTTTTTATACTATAGACTGGTTTTGGTTGGAAGAATGAAGAAACCCTGGTCTTCTAACACCGTGATAAAACTGATGACAGTCTACAAGCAAAACCAGAGGATGATCAACTAAAGCAAACACCGTAACCTTTAAAATCAAAGATGGTTTGGGTCATTAAAGTATGGTTTTGGCACAAGGAAATAATACAATGATGAGATGATGGCCTGGATAAATAATGAGTAGAAAAAAAAATTCTCAGACTTTAAAGACCCTAAAATGAAGTAGCTGGGACTCACAGCTAGTGTAAGTCTACTGAATGGTCTAGGAAACAGTTTTATTATCGACCCCCCTCAACACTATTCTTTTGATAAGTCAGATCTGGCCTATGGCCAATGGATCTATGATTAGAAACCACTTTTTGGATAGTACTGCACAAGTTTTAAATGGAGCAGTAACAATGAAATGTGGGCAAGGTACTTGTAAGGTTGCCATAATATCATTTCTGCATGATACTTCAAAATGAGTGTAGAATTCTACTGCCCCCAAATCAAGAAGCTACTTCTAGCTAAGCATGTGTGGCACACCTGGAATCCCAGCACTTGGGAAATAGAGGCAGGAAGACACACTCAAAAGCTTGCTTCAACTTCTCTGTCTTAAAAAGGAAAATAGAGCATAGCTTCTTTTACTGGCTGGCATTTGGATTACAAAGCAGCCTGGTAAATTTCTTACTTGTAACTTTTTACAAGTAAGAAACTAAACACCAATAACTAAAATAAATATTTTATGTTTGTTTGTGCATCTATTTAGTGCATATGTGTGTCAAGAGAGTCTATGTGAAGGTCAGAGGGCAATTTTCACAGCTGTTTCTCTCATACTACCTCGTGAGTCTTGGGGACTGAACTAAGGTTGTTAGTCTTGGCAGCAAGAGCCTTTACTCTCTTGTCATCTTGCAGGCCTAAGCACTGTATAATTTCCTTCAATTTAATGAACTCAATTTCTAACTAAAACTATTTCATACTAAGAAAAATTTAATCATAAAAAGGATCTCATTTAATTGCATATTGGGATATTCTACTGAAGAGAATAATAGTTACATTTTATTATGGCTAGAGTTTAAACATACAGTGAAGCCCAGAGAGTCTGAACAATCCCAGTAGAGCAGACACTGACAGGTGGTACAGGCGAAGGAGGCTGCTTTTTCTCAGGTTAGGGTCTAGCAGTTTTTAGCTATTTAACAATTTCTAAACTTCATTAGTTTACACATAGATATAGATATAGTCATATATACTAGATTACTTCCTATAATCCTCAATTTGGAGTCTTTGTGCAGCAGGAGTATCAGAGCAAATCTGAGGCCAGCCTGGGCTACTTAGTCCCAGGCCAGTGTGAGCTATAATAGACTATTCTCAAGCAAAATGAACACCTTAAAACCAAATAAAACATACTTTACACCATATGGAAGGCAATCTTACAAAAGCCTCTTTTCGAATACATACACACATACATACATTTATTTATTTACTCAATCATTCATTTGAGACAATGTCTCATGTAGCCTAGGCTGGCCTCAAATTCTAACTTGCTATGTAGCAGGATGACTTTGAATTCTTGATCCTCCTGCCTTCTCCTCCCAAGTGCTGGCATTACATACATTCCACTATGCCTGAATTCCCATTAAAATTGAGCAGCACTGACACTATGTATGTGATCATCTAACACAACAGATTTTAAAGTCATGTTTATTAGAACTGGGTCCTCAGTTTTGGTACTTTACAAACCTTAAAAATACAGAAAATCATGGGCTACACTGTTCAAATCCTTACTTGCTTTGATGGGCTGTAACTCACCATGTACATGGTATTATTGTTAAAGCCCAGTGAAAATACTAACATTAATTTTATAATACCACCAATGGGTACAATACAGAAAAAGATCCATTATGGTAATCAAATGTAATTCAATCCTCTCAAATAGAAACTAAGTCTCTTAGCTATCATCGCAGAGGAAAATGAAAACTAGAATCTGGTGGTTCAGACTTTTAAAAAATTCTGAAACAAAAAAGCTTATCAACTGATAGTTTGGGAGAATAAAGAATCATCCAAACACATTTCAATTCTATATTTGAATTATTTGATTCAAGTGGCATTTCCTTCATTTCCAACTATTTACATCTATGACATCAACTTTAGGGTACATTAATTCTGCTTTGAAGAAACCATCTCCCAAATACTACCAACCAGTTAAGTGCAAACAGGAATCTATAATGGCCAGGATTATACATGACTATGTCATACCTGAAAACATACCTAATAGTATGGTTCTGTAAGTAGATAGTCCATGAACATGTATGGCTAGATTCCTGATGAATGTTCTCACTTTGATATTTCCATTTACCCACTACATGATCTTACAATCATGATTTTAAATGCCACATATTCTATTTTGTTGACTAATTACAATTTATTATTTCTCTAATGTTGAACAATGATGCAGCTTCTAATTATAGTAAAATAAGATGGAAAAATAAGCTTCAAATTTGAGGATATTTTTTCTCACACTGAATTATATCCTTACATTAATTTATAAAAGATTAGTCAAATAATGTAAATACTTCCATAAATCTTCCATAAAACACTTTCAAAATTAAGAGCAGTGATTTTAATGTTTATAGAAAACAAGTAATCCATTAGTTACATTTAATTCCAAGCTCAGCAGTAGGAATTATTCTAAATATTTTCCACCTTGGTTGAATTTAGTATGATGAAATTTCATTGATTTCTATCATGAATGTAAACATTTTCTGTTTTAACAGTGATATTTCCTCTGTTAAATTTCCTTATTTAGGGTCATGCTAACGTTTTCTAAGGTCCCTGATTTTTGGAATAATTTCCCTACTAGATTCTGTTTTATGGCATAGAAAATTTGCATTTTCTAATTAATTGTCCATATATTATTATGTGAATCCTTTCATTTTCCCAAGTTAAAAAGAAACACAGCATTTGTTTATACCTGTAAAAATCATTTGTTAAAAATTACTTTTTGATTTTTGAGTTGAGAAAACAGTCCATATGTAACGATGGTGCATACCCACAGACTTGTTTTTTGTATGTTAAGTAGCAGACACCAATACACTTAAGGGTATTTACTTAAAGAGAAACAAAAATCTAGCATCTTATACAGTAAGAATGGACTTCCACATACACTTCATCATTCTCTGATCTTCACATGGTAAAGAATTCAAATGTGCCTTAACTCTAATTTTCCTATTTTTTCTCAAGCAAAAGGAACTGAGAGAAAATAAAAAGCAAACAAGTAGCACTGCTATTCCAGTGCTAAGAAATAATGAAATGTTTTCAGTAATTTGAACTATTAAAATTATAATGTGTAAATTGGATTAAAGGAACAAACTATGAAGCAAATGTAATGATTTTTCGAGTGATCATTTCATCCAAATACAAAGGATCCTAAGCCTCTGGATGCTGTGTATGGCTTGCTTTCCAATAGATAAGCTTTAAAAGGGTGGTGGGGTAAAAACACCAGTTTCTAGACCCTGGTTCTTTTTGAAGAGAAGAGGGAAAGGGGCTATACAGAAAATACAGGGTAGGTTTGAATTATGTCTACATTTTTTTCTTAGAAAGACGACAAAATATCAATATTAAATGAAGATGGTGGTTACAGGAATTCTTTTACATTATTATCTGTACTATGCTACATACTTGAAATACTTTATAATTTAAAATATTATAATTGATTCTTTTCATACATATTTATGGTATGAACTATATAAAATACTGACAAAGACAACACATACACCTGCTAAGCACAAAGATAAAAAATGCAAACATTCATCTCATAGCCTGTCAGCACACTGAGTTCATTTCCCTGGTAGGAAAGACATTACTCAACAACTTACCCCTTTCTGCAATCGTTTCCTTAAAAAATCGGAACCTCCAGGCTTTTGTCCCAAGTGTGGATACCTTGCTTTTAACTTTGCTTCTTCAGCTTTCTCTGGACTAGTCACTTTATCTTCCATTTCCTGAAATAATTTAAAGTAAATTATTTTTGTTTTTGAAAATAATTTACCTTTTAATACCTGGATTCTGACTTTCGTTGTTGAATGCCAAGTAATACAGCCTCTGACTAAGAAACCAAGCACAGAAACCTTTCAAACGCCTCTGTCTTTCTTCTCAAATGTCCCATGTGATAGTTCTAATATAGCTGTGATGCATGTATAACACCCCACACACTGGATAAAAATACCAAGATAGCTCAGCTCTCAAGTCTTGCTTGCAGTTACTTTCCAGTCATGTATAATACATTTATAGTTAGTCACCTTCTATGGAACTCCTCAGCTCTTTGTCTATATTTAGAGAATTTTCTTAAAACTATCAAAATTTAAAAGACCTTTTTGATTTCCTTTTATTCAAAATCATGTATGATTTTAAACTCCTTAGACTCTTTACTAGACATTAACAGCCGCCCAAATACTAGCCTATCTTTCCTAATGAAATCCATTCAGAAGCTTTGATATCTATAAAGGAGAGGAATATGTTCATCAATCTCACATCTGACTAGGTGTGAGAGTCCATGCCTATAATCGTAGCTCCCAAGAGTCTTGAGGTAGGAAGACTATAGCAAGTTCAAGGTCAGCCTACAACGAATAAGTCCCTGTCTCCAACCAACAAAATGGTAAATTCTGTTCATATCAAAAAGATCACATATTTTTAGGTAACGAAGTCTAAAAAGACTGTCATTAAATATCCCCATTCTATGCTAAGGATTAAACTTGGGGGCACTCAGTTATAACCCTGGTCCTGCCACTCTCTCAAAACCATTTTCTCAAACACCTATCTTGATTTAGCCCATATTCTTCAACATGCTGTCTTACAGGAAAGAATTTATCACATAATGACAGGAACAATGAATCAAGAAAATCACAGGTCTCCTATGATGGGAAGCTGGGCAGCTGGCAAGGGCATTTTTAGCTACCAGACTCATTATGAACTGGGAAAACCACATTTTGGCACATTTTGAATCTGTAAGATTATTTATGAAGTAAAATAGCAGAAATGTTAAATCTATAAATGTCAAACCAACTGTTCTTATACAGCAAGTAAATAACTTATCTAGGAACTTTTCAATGGCATGCATTTTTTTTGTAGCTTTTCCTCAAAATTACATTTATACATATTCTATTCACTTTATGTATTATCACCACTTGACCCTCAACAACTCCCTTATACCCCACACTTTGTATTAGAGGATTTTGATAAAGGCTGATATCCTTTGTTTTCCATTCTCTTTACATAAACTTGCCTTTTCTGCTTCAGATATCCTAATTCTCCCTTCTAGGCTGCAGTTTCATGTATCTCTTTATTTTTTTTCGAGACAGGGTTTCATTGTGCATAGTTCCTACTGTCCTAGAATCCACTCTGTAGACCAGGTTGGCCTCGAGCTCATAGAGATCCTCCTGCCTCTGCCTCCCTGAGTGCTGGGATTAAAGGTGTATGCCACCACCTGGCGACTTCCAATCTCTGTGGCTATTCACACATATGCTGCACACAGGTAAGATTCTAAATAATGATTTTTCCAGTCCTTACATTTAAGAATGGTTTGTCCAAAAGTTCAAGATACCCTGGGTATCTTTCAGTGTGTATACATATCAACATGCTGCTTATTACTGTTACAAGGTAAGCCTTCATAAGCCCACTATTGAAGCTGGTACGAAATTTTAGTTGTATGCTCAAGTCAAGATTAAAAACTAGCTGCAATATCATCATTCTTTAAGGAGTGTTTTGTTGTTTGAGACAGGGTTTCATTCTGCAGCTCTGGCTGTCCTAGAACTCACTAAGTAGACCAAGCTGGCCTTGGACTCAAAGAAATCCACCTGCCTCTGCTTCCTGAGTGCTGGGTCAGTTCTTAAGGAGTTTTTCAAACCTGATTTTATACATGATTTCTGTCTTACAAAGTTTAGAAGCCAACCAGGTAAAGATATGAAAGACTGCACTAGAGATACTAATACAAAAATAAGGTGTTCAGACTACTGCAAGGTGTTCTAGAGCATTAGTGACACCTAGTGGCTGGCTGCTCACCCTTCACTATGCAAATCTACTGCAACCCTCTGGCATTCACAGAGCTGCAATTTCAAAGCAAAATTGGATGAAAAGCCCTATTCTTGGGTTTCCCTGTCCAGTTAGCCCATTTTAAATAATGCTTATTGAAAAGGAGTCAAAGTCAACTGCTGGCCTTTAGTCCCAGCACTTTCAAATCTTCTTGTCAATATCAGATTTTCTTGGGCCAGGAAGATACACAGCAGCTAAGTAGCTAAGATTGCACAGGAGCTTGCTATATAAACTTGACAATCTTGAGTTCAATCTCTGAATCTGATGGTAGATGGAAAAGTACCAAGTCCTGAGAGTTGTCTTCTGACCGTCACATGCACCCACACGAAAAAATAATGAGGCTAGGCTGTTCTACACAGAGTCACATATTCTCTCCCTCCCTCCCTCTCTCCTCTCTCTCTCTCTCTCTCTCTCTCTCTCTCTCTCTCTCTCTCTCTCTCCCTCCCTCCCTCCCTCCCCATCTCTCTCTCTCCCTCTCCCTCTCTCACCCCAAACCCACTTCTTCCAATAACTACTTGAACCTAGGAGCTCAAAAGTTTGAGGTCAATGAGACCTCATTTCTAAAAAAGGAAGGACAGGGAGAGGAGAGGTAAGAGAGGGATTGAAGGATAGAGGAAGGAGGAGGAGAATCCAATTCTTGAATGTCCTTGCCAACACATAACATAATATTACAAAGTGCTGCTAGTAAAATTACCTAGATGAATTCAAACATATGTTCTGTATGCAACAAGGAAAGATATGCAAAGACAGACCTAAGCTACACTTTAAAATGAAGTTAAGCACTATCAAGACTTCCACAATAGTTTTCATGAACCATACAAAACATTCTTAACCTACTGCAGATGCAGAAGTTTTATGACCTTACATTAAATAACTCCAAATGGCTAGACATTCACTAAAATTCTAGGACTTTCACGAACATTTTAGCCAGCTACAGATTTGCTTATAGAGATATTAAACATGTGAGGTGAGGTGCTGTGGCTGCTGGCATTTAGCCATTCTTGCTCTTCTCTACATGCTTCCCAAAACAGAACAAACAGAAGGCTAAAAACTACATTTCCCAAGCTGCATTACAATTAGATGAAAAGAACCCCTTCTTCTCTTGACCATGCTGCTACAGAGCCACAGGCCCTTGTGAGTTCCTCCAGTAGGGTATCCACGGATAATCAGAAGCTCTTGTAACAGCTACACGGGAGTGGGGTAGAAGATGGAGGCTTGAAATAGGACTTAATGCCTACCAGTCAGAAACATTCTTCATTTCCTGCCTCTGGAAATATCTTTTTTTCCTTTCCGTTCTTCCAACCCCTTCAAGAATTTGTAATCTAGCACCCTAAACCATTTCCTCTCTGTTTGAAATACGCCAAGTAGCTTTTGTGCTTGCCTTCCTCATACAATGCTTAATAAAAATCAAGTGGAATAATTTTTACCTGTAGTTATGTTAAAAATGGAAGTGGACACAGAATTTGCTATGATTGCAGGTTCTTGGACATCCAAGACATCCCCCAACATTTACTTTAGATAAGAAAGAAAGAAAACTGAAGAAGGGGGGGAAAGGTTTGAGATGAAGAGAAGGAAATATATAACAGGAGTGGGGAATGCAGGGCCTGGGATGTAGCCCATGTCATAGAGCACAGAGGCTCTGAACTCACAATTTCCAGCATCTGAGAGGATGGTAGACAACAATAAAGGGCTGGGGTGTGGCTCAGTGTAGAGCACTTGCCAAGAAAGGGCAGGGCCCCAAGTTCAATTCGAAGTGCTATAAAAACAAAATGAGATAAAAAGGAAAAACACATAACAGGATAGTATTTTTATAATTTAAATGTTTATAATTTGGAAGTCGTAATGGTTTATACTGTCAAAACACAATAGGAACCAGAATCTGTAGGCATATCTGTAAAGGAGTTTGCAGATGGATTAATTATGTGGCAAGATCTACCCTAGATGTTGTCAATATTATTTCAGAGGCTACACTACACTACACTACACTAAATTTAAAAAAGGAAGTGGAATAAAGAGATGGTTCAGTGGTTTAAGAGGAGCTGTATAATCACAAGGACTGGAATTTGGATCCTAACACCTACGTAGTAAGTCAAGTATTGTTCAAACACTTGTCACTTCAGCTCCAAAGGATGCGATGCCTTCTTCTGGTTTTCAAATGTGCACTTACATACAACACAGACACACACAAGTGCACACATACACACACACATTAATTATTAGAGGGAGGAAAAGGGGAAAAAGATGGACACAAGCATTCATCTCTACTCCTGGCTACAGATGCATTGGCTCATGTTGCCATATACTCCTAACTATCATGAACTGTATCCTCAACCTCTGAGCAAAAATAAACCCTTCCTTTATGTTACTTTTATCAGATGTTGAGTCAGAGCCATGAGAAAATAAACACGTAAGTGATCTTTTTTTTTTGGGGGGGGGCAGGGTTTCTCTGTATAAACTTGACCGTCCTGGTACTTATTGCTATAGAACAAGCTGTCCTTAAAACTCACAGAGTACCCCCTGCCTTCTGAGTACTGAGATTAAAAGTGTGTGCCACCACCACCTGGCTTGCATAATCAAGATTTACAGGGAGCTAACTAAACAAAAATAAAGCATAAAACTTCCAATTTAGTTTAGTAGTAGTTTAGTAGTAAAGAAAAGAAAATCAACAGGGGAAGTTAAATAATAATGGAACTAAATACATTACCCCCCCCCCAGCACAATAATAACAAAAGTAGAGAATAGACATGATGTGAACAAAGGGGGAAAAAGCAGCAGCAAAAGGCAAGATGAAAGAGAAAAAAAAAGGGGGGGTGGGGATAAGACAGATGGTTCAGTAGTTAAGAGTACCAGCTACTCTTCCAGAGGACCCAGGTTCAATTCCCAGCACCCACATGGCAGCTCACAACTGTCTCTAGCTCCAGTTCCAGGGGATCTGACACCCTTACACAGGTAGACAAAACACCAATGCACATGAAATAAAAATAATTTTAAAAATTGAAAAAGAGAAAAAGAGAAAACAAAACCCTTAAGTATCAATGATCGTAAGAACCATAAAAGGACTGATGGCGTGTCCATTTAAATCTGAGCTGGAACTCAAGAGGGACAGTCATGCCTGTAATACCAGTATTTGAGAAGACAGAGCCAAAGGACTACCACACCAAGTTCACAGTACAGTCTCCAAAGCTACAGAGAAAAACTGTCTTGAAAACCCAACACAAACCAAACCAAACAAAGCCAAAACTAGCTACTAGTCAAGTAAATTTTAAAAATAAGTGACATAGGAAGAAAATAAACACAGGGGAAATAATATACTAGACAAGCCCTACTCAAATAAGAGCTAATGTACCTATATTAATACTGAGTAACAGATACTAAGACAAAAGTATAATTAGAAATATATAGGACAGAGGTTGGAGAGATGGCTTAGCAGTTAAGAGCACTGGGTGCTCTTCCAGAGGACCTGGGTTCAATTCCCCAGCACCCACATGGCAGGTCATAACTGTCTATAATTCCAGCTCCAGGAGATCTGGTGCCCTTTTCCAGTCTCTATGGGACACATACACAAACAAAACTGCATCCAAAAAAAAGAAAGAAAGAAAGAAAGAAAGAAAGAAAGAAAGAAAGAAAGAAAGAAAGAAAGAAAGACATAGGCCAGCCACGTGGTGGCTGTGTCTACCTTTAATACCAGCAGAGGCAGGTAGATCTCTGAGTTTGAGGCCACCCTGGTCTACAAAGTTAGTTCCAGGACAGCCAGGGCTACACAGAGAAACCCTGTCTTAACAAACAAACAGAAATACAGAAGCCCTGCTCTCTGTGCAGCTCCCATGGCAGGCATGGGATGGCAAGTGCTACTTACTGGTCCCCAAGGATGACAAGGTACAAGCCTGTGTGTTGTATAACATGCACACAGATGTCTGATCCTTCCAAGTAGGTACCAGTACCACAACGGGGATCGAAGACAATCACTGTAGTTTTGTCCTTGAAGGAAATCTAATTGGCACTAGAAGCCCACCCAGGAAGTGGGCTATTTTACCTGAGGAATAAAATCTCCCCCTTGGAGGTGACTGGCAAGGCAGCAACGCTTAGGTGATGATTTCTGCCATTTCAACTACGAGCAGTGTCAGGAGCAGAGAAGCTGTTCTGGCTACTGTGGACTTTGTTGTTACAAGGAATAATTTCTGTCTGAATTTAGACAAATCCTAGAAACTCTGGTCTTTCCTATATTAATCAGTGTGAGCAGCTACCAACTTACTATTAAAAAAAAAAAAAAGGATTGAAACCAGCACATTTATGCATTTACGTACCAGGCAGACATCATTACCTTGATGCATCTACCCCTGGTCATGAACCTAGAGATAACTTGAATATGAGAGTTCAAGATCAGCTTGGAGAAACTTAATGAGAGCTCATTGTGCCCCTCCTCAAAGCAGACAGCATTTGCTTATTTTATCTTACAAGTACTTGATTAAAAAAAAAAAAAGACCCAGTAATTTCTTTCCCATGCGTGTGTGTGTGTGTGTGTGTGTGTGTGTGTGTGTGTGTGTGTGTGTGTGTGTGTTGTGTGGGGGGGTGGGCATGCACATGTCACAATAATGGAAGTGAGGAAGTCAAAGGATAACTTGCAGGAGTGGGTTCTCTTATTCCATGTGAGATCTGGAGATCAAAGTAGTCAGGTTTCAAGGCAAGAACCTTAACACTTTAAGCCATCTCACAAGTCCATGGTAAAGTATTTTAAAGAAAAAAAAGAAAAGAGAACAATGATCAGGTGTCACTATGTATGCCAACATTTCTAGCATTCATGGGTCTATGGAAGTTTTCGGTAAGTCCAGGGCCTGCCTGGGCAGTGATACCCTGCCTCAAAACAAAAAGGATGCCACACAAAGATTGTGTATGTGTGTAGACTTAATTCAGTGGTAGATCAATTGCTTGGGAAGTAGGAAAACCTGAGTTTAATCCACAGCAGGGGTGGGGGAAGGGCAATAAGAAACTAATAAGAGCCAGGCAATCTCAAAATTCCAGGCAAGATTACAAGCTAGAGGACAGACTGGGCATCCTAGTAATTCCAGGTCAGCCAGGGCAACAAAATGAGACCCTGTTTTAAGCTGTTAAATAAAAGCTTAAAAGCTGGGCATATACCTGCAACCCCAGCATATACAAAGTGGAGGCAAGAGGATCGGGAATTCAAGGCCAAGATATAATACATAAAACCAAGTCTTAAAAAGCAATAGTAAAGGAAGCTAGGCAGGTGTGGTGGCAAAGCCTTTAATCCTAGCACTCAGGAGGCAGAAGCAGGTGGCTCTCTAGAGATCAAGTTAGCCTGGTCTATAGCAATATGTTCACTAAAGCACTGATGAATTATCAAAGCCCAACAGACCTGTTAGGGAGCTGTGGTACACGCCTTTAATCCCAGCACTTGGGGGGCAGAGACAGGTGGATGGATCTCTATGAGTCCAAGGTCAGCCTGGTCTACAGGGCTACACAGAGAAACCCTGTCTCAAAAAAACCAAAAAAAGAAAAGATACTTTTAGGAAGGTTGACTACTGTCAACAATTTATATAATCACTTTTGTCCTGCAAATCCTTACTATTTGCCAGTGTGTGGCATGCAACAACAGTAAGTAAAAGTCTCCAGAATGAACACAATGTCCTTCAACTACATCCATAAAACCAAAAACTTTCTACATAGGTAGATTTAACATCAGCTTGAGACTATCTGATGCAACAGAATTAATAGGCTCAGGAGAGTAAGTTATAAAGCACAAATCTTACACAAACAACAGAAGCAAATCTAATAAGCTGTTAGGGCTGGAGATGTAATTCGGTGGTAGATGGCCTAACATGTACAAGGCTCTGGGCTTCATCCCTAGCACCATAGGACGGGACATGACTGAAACCCCAGTACTCAGGAGATAGACATAATAAGGCAAGGAAGGAGTTCAAACTATCCTGGCTACACATTGAGTTCCAGGCCAGTCTGGGATAAGAGACCCTGTTGGACAAACAAACGAGAGAGAAATCTGTCTTAACAGAAAAAAACGAAGTCTACCAGTCATAGAAGGTGTAACAAAACAGCTCCAGAAAATAAAGATTAACTAGAATTTTTTAAAACCTGGGGGGAGGGAAGGAAGCAATTTGTATCTGTTCAAAACTGATATAAGGGAACAGTCATGTCATACATATGATTAGGGATGTTCTGGAAAATGTATTAGGCAAGATTTGTCATTAAAAGACATCAGAGCAGGGCTGGAGAGATGGCTTTGTAGTTAAAAGCAATGGCTGCTCTTCCAGAGGACCTGGATTCAACCCCCAGCACTTACATGGTGGCTCACAATGGTCTATAACTTCAGTCCCAGGGGGATCTGATATCTGATGCACTCTTCTGACCTTCCAGGGCACCAAACAGCACATATATACATATACATACATGCAGACAAAACACCCATACACATTAAAACAAACAACTAGTAAGAGACGAGTGTAAGATTTAAGAAGCTGCTCTCCCATGAAGAAGAGAGTATATTTTTGCCCCGTGTCCTTTCTTGTGGTTTAATGAGCTTAAGATTTCTAAAACTGGGGCAGCCATACTGCATTAAAAGCTGAGGTGCTAAGATCGGAGGAGCAGCAACAAAGGACACAATAAACCTTAGAACCACTATCCCAGTCCTGGGCTAGCTTTTTGTGCTTCTCTGCCAACTTCTGTCTTGTTTAAAGTACTACTAGTTTCATTTTCTTGTCACATGTAACCAAGCATAATTCTGATTAAAGAAAAAAGCA